CCTTCTTATAAAAGAAATATGTAGGCCTAGGAATGATAAATGATGTAGAATTCAAACCCAGGTATAAATAAAATTGTTATTCATTCATTCATTCATTCATTCATTCATTTATAGCTTTTATAAACCATCCCTATCCTAGTGTCTTAGGATGGTTTGCAAGAAACAAGTAAAATTATTAAAATTAAAATTATTAAAATGGCAGATGAAACACACAGACATGCAAAACTCAAATCCTATAGTTACCACATTTTCTTCAATATCCCCAAACAGGCACTCTGGATGAGGTTTCAATTTATCTACATTCAAGCAATTAGGTCAAACAACAATCTGAATCCCACCCCCCAACCCCCCAGGAACAACAGGTACACAATTTTCTTGATCTGAAATATGCCAGCATGTCTCACTCTAATGGTCATTGTCAAATCTGCACAGGCAGAGAAAATAGTATGTTGCAAACTTTCTAGGAATGTATGATTTCAGTCTGTATGTTGCATGCTTGAATGTAAGAAAATATCAAGCACACAAACAAAAAAGAAGGGGAAAAAACACTGAAAATATTGTGCATTAAAACGCATGGCTTTCTTTATGATTTTCCCAGAACTACTACAGTTCCTTAGCTTCTTCAGAACCTGCAGTGAAATTGAAAGCTTTTTCTGTCTGGCATTGTTTGTATATTCAAATAACCTTTTATTTCTCATTGGTTTTGCAAGACCAATGAGTATGAAGCTGAACTTGGAAGACTATTTACCCATGCATGTGTGTGCTTCTGCAATTTCTTTTTCAAATGTAAATATAGCCTTTAAAATTAAATATGCGTTTATATTTGCAAGGGAGAAACTGTCTCTTTTATATTGTGCATTTGTATGAGAAGCTTGGAGAATTATGTGCCAGACTCTCTTCGGTCCCTCTGAACAGAGCTTGGACAATTTCTTGGCACACACCTGAGCTGGGGCAGTGAAGCAAGAGGGAAGGAGCACTCACTTGATATGTACCAGCTCATACCCTAAGATCTGAAGCAGGGATCCTTCTCCGGAAGCCCCTGCCAGTGGAAATGAGCTGGGTGGCTAAAAAGAAGTCCCATGACTCCCTGGAATGAACTTGTTTTCCAGGGATTTTACTTTTTCAGTCTCTGCTTCAAACCTGGAGTTGTATCTTAAATCTTTGCCCTGTTACATCATTTTCCTGGGCTATTTTGTTTACATTTAGACTGTAGTTTTAAACTTTTATATTTTATTTTGTATTTTATTGTCCTGCATGTTATGGTTTTAATTGCTGCAAACTGCCCAGAGAACTTCAGGTATTGGATGGTATAATAGAAATAGCGCTGAAGAAGACTGGTGGCCAAAATGTTTTTGCTCATGTTCTCCTTGTTCTGGGGTGCAGGGATTCTTGTAGCCTCTGTAAAAATGCCGAGCCCTTTCCAGCAATCTGAAGTGGGACAGTCCTACTTTCGTATTTAAGAATGCAGAGCACTGCCTTTTGCTGAGCCATCCCACTGTTCCCCCAGGACTGTCCAGCTCTGTGGAGTTTCAGGCTGGCTTTTTGCCTCGCCCTACCTGGAAGTCCGGGGCTTCCTCTACTGCAACACATGCATGCTCCCAGGTAAGTCAACGCACTCGCTGCATGTGGGCAAGATTGGTCCACAGACACATCCAGAAGAGAAACAAGTGTGTGGTTCAGCTGGACACAACCCAAGCCCTGTCACTAGCTGGGCGGCAGTCATAATAACACTCTTTCCCCCCAGGATCAGCATCTGTTACTCTCCAGGCAGCCTTCATCTCTCCGCACTCAGACATCACCCGAAAATGGGCTACATTTTTTCAGGTCAGCTGTGTTCAAAACTGTGAATCCCTGTCAGAAATGGGTGGGCCCTGGAGCCCTTTCTTCAAGCGATTAATGATTAAATGCAGTTTGCACTGGATGGCATTGATTTATGGGAGGCGGAGGGGGAAGAAGCTTGGGAAAAACACATCCAGGAGGAAGGGGATTGTGATTCAGCCAACATGGCTGCATGTGTGAATCAGGAAGCTGCTGGTGCCCGTTGGACAGAGGCTTGCCACACGGGGCATCACGTGGCCGGAGCACACAGAATTCGTAGAACGGAAGGAGAAAGGGCTGTTTGTTCGCAAGCCCAGAGCGCCTAATAACACCACACACAGGGAACAGAATAAGCATCAGTGGCTTGTTTACGCCCTGGGCTGAGTGGGGCAGCTGAAAAGAATAGGAACGTGCTCCCTTTCCAGTTAAAATGTGAGCCCTTCCCTTAAAATCTGCCCTTTTCGCTGATCCCCTGAAACGTTAATCTCCACTGGTTCCACTGATTCTAGCCAGGGTACAAACTTCCAGTCTGGATGACAGATCCAGCCTTCCTAAAATCCCAGTAAGTTCTGCGGAATTCCATGGGGAACTGTGTCCCTTTCCTCCAGCCATGAATCCTGTGGGGAGGATGCTTCCTGGCACATGTGCGGTTTCTTCTGCTTTCTCTACGGCTGAAATGCCATTTACCAGCATAAGTTGCTTGCAGTAAGGGCTTCCAGCTCTTATTTGGGCCTGGGTTTCTTTAGGTCCACCCCTGTGCCTTTGGGCCCCAGCCACCACCAGAAACATCTCCAAAATTGAATGTGGCCCTTGGGGTAAAAGTGGTCCCCCAGCACTGGATTATAGGAACACAGGGGGCTGTTTTCTGCTGGGCCCACCAAGGTTCTTTCCCACTGGAGTTTGAGCCCAGACCTTCTACATGCAGAGCTGGTGGTACTCCATTCAGCTGCAGAGTGAAGGATCTCCATGAGTAATTTGAAAGTGAAATAATTTCAGTAGTAAGCCTACGTGGGTATGTGAGATTTTGCTGTTTGCTCTTTAAATGCTTTCACTGTGCATTTGCTCTTTGTTTCTGATAAGGCACAATCTGCATTTCTGTGGAAGGTTTCTGTGAGACTCTGCCTTGTGTGTTTCATAACTTTCCAAGAAAGGTGTTGGATTTCAATTTCTTTTCTAGTCATAGCAAACATAAGGCATGCAAATACATAAGTACATAACACATGCATAACATCATCATCATCAAACACAAGTTGGCCATATGAAAAATTCCGAAATATATTGCAGGAAAATTCTTTTATTGGTTCAGTTCAAGGTCACAAGATAAGGTACAACTGTTCGAGTTATCAAGAGAAGACAATAAACAAAGCAAAATGTGCAGGCAGGAAACAAATGTTTGGTGTTCAAGCCATAGACTCTACGGATCTATGGTAGAGGGTCAGCAGACTGGGTCCAGACAACACAATGAGCCACAGTCAAGCACTGAGTATAGGCTGTCATTAAACCACAGGTTGTTGTTGAAACATGGCTTGTGTTGTCTGAACCCACTGAGATAACAAACCGTGGCTTGTTAACCAGGAACAATCCATGATGGGAACACATAGTTTGTTGCTGGATTGTGAACTATGGACTGTTCATTGTGGTTTGTTATCTCAACTGAGTTCGTACAACAGAATAACCTACATTTTAATGACAATCCATGGCTCAAAGAGTGTCTGAGGTATTAAGGAAAGTAATAGTGATCAAAGAAGATATTCTCAACCTCACTGACAATCTGCATGTCGGCAAATCATCTGGTCCAGAGAATATCCATCCTAGAATGCTTGAAGAACTCGAATATGAAATTGCCCATCTTGTATTCCCCATCTTGCAACTATGCACATTTGGGTCCCCCCCCACCCCCGCCCCCACCACCAGGTGCAGAACCTGGCATTTGTCCCTACTGAATTCATTCCGTTGCTGTTGCTTTCGGCCCTGCACTCCAACCTATCACGATCACTTTGCATTTTGCTTCTATCATCCAAAGTATTCGCTCTCCCGCCCAAATTCTGCAACATGCATAACCTCAAAGCAACAAATCAGCAAAGCTTCTTAGGGAACTTCATGCAGCCTCAGCCAGCCTTGCGCTCTCCAAATGCCTTGCTCAGCAACGCCTGTTACTACAGGATCACTTTATCTTGCTGAGGATGACCCCGCATGCTATCCAGCACATCTGGAAAGCACCAAGCTGATGAGCTGGCACAAGTCTATTATTATTATTATTATTATTATTATTATTATCGTATATGTTTCGTTGAATTTAACTGGGGTTTTATTAGCTTAAGTCGTTGGATGCTGTGCTGTTTTATCTTATTTGTTTTTTCATTGCTAATCCATCCAGAGACACTAGTGGTGGATGGGTTAGAAAAGCTTTTAGTAAATAAGCAAGTTTCTTGGGCGGCGACACAGATCAGCAGGGCCTTAGGTGCTGCAAGCATTTCATGTGCTTTCGGTTTACGAATGATAATCGAATAAAGGAAAGCACTGATCTGGCAAGAGAGCTCTCCTGCTACCGTCAGTGTGGCATTGCCCTTCCATGGGCGCTTGCAGAATTAATTGCAGAATTAAACCGGATTCCTGGTCGCCTTTTGTTATTCAAGGCGGGAGGAGCCCCCCCGCCAGACCTCTCGGCACAGCAGTCCTCCTCCCGCGACCGGCTCAGATGCAGCCCCTCCGCCTCTCCCCATTGTCCAAATGGACAATGCCGGTCCCGTCCTCCAACTTTTCGTAACTCCCTTGGATAATCGCTTTGCATTGGAGACTCCCCTCCTGCGCCATTGGCTACCAAAGGGACCCCTCCAAAGACTGGGCGGTGTCGAGGCGCCTTAGGACCAGCTCATCGGCCAATCAGAGGATCCCTCGTGAGAGAGCGCCCCCTCCCCTCCCTCCCCTCCCGACCCCCGCTCACCCGCGCTCGCTGCCTCTCCAACGCGCACAGCTCCAGCGAAGGCGTTGCAAGCGGCGCGTCCGGGGCGCAACGGGAGCGACTCCCTCCGGCGCTAAACAAAGGCGTGGGGATTCGGCTGGCAAGATGAACATCCGCGGGGCTCAGCCGCTCGGGCAGCTGCGGCTTTGGAGGATGCGCCGCGTCGGTTTTGCTTAGAGCGCTGCGAAGTGGGGAGAGAAAGGTGGGCGTTGTTTGGGGATCCGGCTGAAAGAGGCAGGAAGGAACACGGCTCTGCAGTGTCAGCCAGGAGGGATCTTGTAACTCCAGACTGCCTGGCTGCAGACGGGGCCGCGGGATCGCCGCCTCCTCCTGGGAGACTCTTCCTCCTCCTTCGGGTAAGTGGCGCCAACTGCTCGGCGGCGCCCCGTTGCGGGTTGCCCAGCCTTTGATTGGAAAGAGATCCGCGGAAGTCCGGCTGCCGATCCGCGGCACGCATTTCCCGGAAAAGTGAGACGCTTCACAGAATCAGCGGGGCTTACTTCTGAGTAGACACGGACAGGGCTGCAGCGTGCTATCCTACTCGGAAGTAAGCCCCATTTCTTCCAGGAAGGCTTGCTCCCAGGCAAGTGCGTAAAAAGGATTATAGCCTGAAACTTGAGGAGCCAGCTGGAATATTCGAGCCAAGAGAGGTTCTTTCTTTCCTGTTTGGTGTTTCTATGGAATCGGCACAGATCTTTTCAACGCTGTTGTAGCAAAACAAAACGACCTTTATCTTCTTTTGATTTTTACTTCTTTTAAAAGTGCCTTCGGCTCTGAAGTTCCGCTGGACTCTGCTCTCCAGAAAATGCACGTTTTGTGACCCCGAACAGTGCATGAATGAAACACCAGCCATTACAATTCTGCCAGTGTTCTACTCTTTAAATACCCCTGAAGCCTTGCTGGATTTTTGCGAATTGGCAGAACTCTCCGCAGCTAAATGCTAGCAAATGCATTCAAAATTACAATGTTTGGTTTTAATTTCTGTCTGTAGAGCACAGTGCTTGTTGGAGGCCATTTGGTGTTGTGAAAGGTTTTGTTTCTCCACACAACTATATTCATTATTGCAAAACTTCCCTTTTGATATTTTCAATAGTAATTTCTATAGAGTGTCCATTTTTGAAAAGTATGATGAAACAACCCATACATCTTTCTAGACCAAGAACTGCAGGCTGTGATTTGGCTACATGGACTGGAAAAATGGGTTTCGTTGAGACATCATCCTTCTTGTGGCCAAATAAAATGAGAATACAATGAAATTGGAGCATGGATCCGGATGCTTAGACGCTTACACTGGGCACAGTTCTGCCAAAGTGAAGCACTTTTAAGTTCCACTGATTTCAGTATGGGAGCTCCCAACGCAGACTTCATTTTCCACTAAAAAGCAAACAAAACACACACAGCAAGAATCTGTTCAGCAGATATTTACTCAGAAAAAAGTTCAACATAGTGGAACTCATTCCCTAGTAAGTGTGTTACACACTTACCAACAAGAAAGCCTTGTTGAACGCAGAGGGAATAGACACACACACGGTGTTGTTACCTGCTTAGCTCTGGCAAGATCCTGCCCAGGTTTTTTGGTCCATTCATTCATTCCTGGGGTTCCTACTGTGCAGATGTGCACAAGACCCATTAATATTTGCAGGTGAACAGGCCTGTGGCGTCAGAGCATCACCAGAGAGTGGGAGAACCAGAAGTTCTCTTGGTGCCGAAAAAGGGCACTGAATATACCACCTGAGCCTTCTCTCTGTCATTCCCCAGATCGGTTCAACTTGCAAGGTCTGTAACCACAGTAAGGGAAGTATCCTGAACCTCATGAGAGAGACATAATAGCAGCAAGCTTTCACACATCCAGACTGCTACCTTCCCACCCATCTGGGAACATTGATCCAGGGTCTGACTCATCATTTGCAGCAGGCAGGGGGACCATGGCTTGGCAGCACCTGCTTTGTATGCAGGAGGTCTCTGGTTCAGCTCCTGGCATCTCCAGGTTGAGCTAGGAAAGAGTCCTGCCAGAAGCTCTCCAGGCCAGGGTAGGGCAGCAATACCGAACTGGAAAGACTAGTAGCTGCTGCTCATGCTCTTAAGTCTTGAGGTGCACCAGCCAGGAGAGCCTTGGCATGCAGGGCTGAAGCTGCACAGGTTAATAACACAGAGGATTCTTACGGCCAAGCTTGAGAGGGCCTCCCATCAGCCAGATGATGGGCAGCCCACAACATCCCTGCCTCTCCTGAGACAAAGAGGCACCACACCTGACCTAAAGTGACAATGAGCATCAAAAGACAGCAGCAGAAGAATGCACCTGGAAAGTGGCAGGCAGGAGACCAGCAGTGTGGCTCTTAATGTTGGTTGGGCACCTTTCAAGACTGCAGAGAGGCAAAATAGGCAGATCCCTGCCCCAAGGCACCTTCAGACTAGAGCAGCCTATGGAGAAAGCAACGTCAAGAGGGTGGGAGACGAGCGCAGGGGAGCATGTTGTTTTATGCAAGCACACAACTTATTTATGCAACATGCCAGATTGTCTCTTGCAGCCACATAGCGCTATCACCCTTCATGGGCCTTAATAATAAGCAAACAACCACTGAAACTGTGAAGTAACTGTTGGAAGCTGGATATCCCTTCAGGAGAGGAAGTGACAGTCTAGAAGAGAAAGGGTCCGTTGCTCTGCCCAGTTTTAGGGTATCCCTTCTCCTCCATGTACCATAGTTCTCCTGACTGTCTGAGTAGGATTTTCATTGGGATGGAGGGGATGTTGTGAGGAAGAAGAGGCAGGAGGTCCACTTCACAGCCCCATTGATCCAGGGTATATCTGAATCTGAACTGTCTCCCTTAGGATTCCTTCAGCCTCACCCATGGCTTGAATGCAGCCTCCAAAAATTTCTCCGCTGGAATATCACTCTTGGACTGGGAGTGGTTCTACACCCTTGGATTCAAGGCTTTTAAAATCAGCCTTACCCAACCCTGATGCTCTACAGATGTGTTAGATGGCAACCCACATTCTCAGCCCAGCTGGGCATAGCTGTGACTTGGAATGATGGGAAATGTTGCCCAACACACCTGTAGAGCACCAGAGTTGCGCAGAACTGATCTATATCTTACCTTGTAACTGTAAATACGATCAGGGTGGCTAACGAGCAAAACAACATGAGATGAAGCAATAAAAACAATTCATAGTGAAGTAATAAAAAATCCACGGTCAAAACAACAGTTATTAGATGCAGCTCATCTGAGACCTACAGATGAAATCCAGTTGTGCTTGTGTTTCAAAAGCCAAAGAAAATTTTTTAGAGACTCCTCTCTTCTACCCCACAGACAAAGAGCTGGTACTGGGCAGATCTTTGAAAGTGGGCCGGTGTACGTGGAGGGTGCCAGCACCAGCAACCGATGTGGACTGAGAGTTAGCGTTAGGGTTGTGACTCTTAAACAGGCCCCCGGAGATCAGGGGTCAGCCCTGTGTCCTCTTCTCTGCACTGCTAAGAGCATCAAGCCAGGCTTCTGACAGTGATGATCAGTGTCCTGTTCTGTAGGTCATTGGAACCTGAACTAACATGCACAGATACTGAGCACATCATGTATACACTCAACTGTTCATAAGTCCAGGTTTGGTATCCATTATCCCCCCCTCTCCCCGAGAGAGAGAAAGTGAAAGAAGCAGATGCCAGCTAATCGTTAGGATGCTGAGAGCTGTTCAGTAATGAAACAGGCCGCTTCAGGAGGTCATGGACTCTGCTTCACTGGTGGAATTTAAATAGAAGCCTGCGTTGAACTGAGGTTGGACAAGGTGGCCTTTATGATCCATCTCTGTGATTCTGCAGCTAATTAAAAGAACCAGGTGGCAGGAGGTGGGAAGCATTCTGCCCTTGGAAAGCCCGGAGAGCTGCAGGAGCTAGCCCGAATGTCCATTACCTGGATGTCTAGACTCATCTGGTGGAAGACAGCTTCCCTTGAAGAGACAGCTTTAGCTTGCTTGTTTGTGCATGTAGCCTTCATGTGATTAGTGTCAGCAGTGGTTTGTGTACCAAGATATCTGGAGGGTGCTAGGTGGAGGAAAGTGGACTGCTTTGCAGTCGGAAATTACCCCAGACTCCTGTATGTGTATGTGGAGCGTGAGAGGTGGTGAGGTGTCCTTTGTTGAGCATCTCCATGCAGAAATTTGATGGCCTCCTGTTACGAATGCTGTAATGCATCTTGCTTTGGAGACCCTTCACTACATGGAAGTTGGACTACATGATTTCCAGGTGTGCCCCCCCACACACTTCAACACTCTTTGGCTGGTGATGTTTCAAGAGCATTCAAAACTTCTCCCTGGGCTGGCATTGAGGGATGGAATTCTGGGAATGTAGACTTAAGAAGGATCAGAATTATCATTGGCCAAGTAACGTAGGGCAGTCTTGCAGCCTCCAGTTTTCGGACATCATCTGGTCACCATAGGCTTCTTTAGAGGTCTAACAGTGAAGTCTTCCCAAAATCTTGATGCCCAGGCTCCTGCCCCCACTCTGGCATGGAAGGAACAACAGCTGCCTCTGAGAGGGGAAATGAACTCTTGGGAGAGGGAAAAGTGGCATGTTGTGGGGAAAGGAAAGGAAAGGAAAGGAAAGGAAAGGAAAGGAAAGGAAAGGAAAGGAAGCACCTGGGGCCATCCTCGTACTCTGGTTCGGATTGTGGCCCCAGCTTCCTCCTTTCCCCCTCCCTGGTGCTTTGCCTAGATGGCTGGAAATGGCTGTCTAGATAAAAAGGGGGCAAGGAGCACCCCCTTTGAGGTGGGTGAGGTTTAATTGAGTATTCTAAATGCCCAGACCCTTAATAAAATAGTGACATGCTCACCCGTGTTGCTCAGGATACTATTTTCAAGGAGAATTAATGAACATTAATATATGTGGTCTGAAGGCATACAATGTGGCTGAAGATAAACAGGTCCATATCTTCACTGCCTGGAAGGATGGCCACCTGGGTAGTCTGGAAGGAATATGGGAGAGAAATGTACCAAGTAACACTCCACCAGGTACAAATCACCTAGCGACTCTCTGTGCGATGGTTGTCAACATCACATGGCTTTACAGTTATCCGGTATTTCATTGTCCAGTGTGGAATAATGAGACTTCAAAGTCAAGTTGGTGGATGAAAAGACATGGATAGATTTGTGCAGGAATGCCGTGCAGGCAGGTGGGTCCCCTTCCTGCTTCTTCCTGGCCTTGTTCTCATTTGGCCCTTAGAAAGAGCCTGAAGTGGGAGGAGAAAATGAGAAACACAAGGCACTTCCCACGTTTTGCCGAACATGCTTTCCAAAGGGGGGGCACTCAAGGGTTGCTATGTTGGAAGAAAGGTGCAGGAAATGGAGCCGGATCTGACTGTACAGGAA